TGCTGACGCAGAGTCCGTTACTGGGGGAACACAATATGGAGGCGGGAGTGCCAGTGGAGCCTCGTGTGGTGGCGCGCATTTCTCTTATTGGCGGGGTGGCAACCGCGCCTTCCAATCTGCTGGACGCTGATATCATGTTGCGCCTGATGGGGCACGTTATCACCGTGGCAGAGCAGCCGTCTGACTCTCTTGATGACATCATGGCTCGGAGAATGGGAGTTTCTCTCCCATAATGCCCAACATGGCCTGCACTGGTGCGTTGCTGCTGCGGTGATGACAACACAGTGACGGAGGGAATAGCGGTTGTGTATTTGCGATGAAACCTACCGGAGACGTATTCATCGCGTGCGTTTTCCACCTCAGCACGCGGTGGGTGGCGGTCCCTTGACGATTGTTGTGGACGGGCTGTTTAGCCGCGGTCTTTTGGTGAATGGAGCTGTTATGGAAGATGATGCGATCCGCGTGCAGCACAACGGACGCCCCCAGTACTCCTTGGAGGAGCGTAGGCGAATCCTGCAGGGAATGATGAGGGACGGCCTGCCTGTGATGTGGCATGAGGCAAGTAACCGTCGTTGGGCGCACTCAAACCGTATCCCCGATGATGCGCCTATCGGCTGTGACCTGCATGGACAAATGCAGACCGTCCACATTCTCGTGGAATCGCGGCAAGCACGTTGGGGCATTGCCGAGTCTCCCCAATACCGCGAGAGTTTTTAAAAATTTGCCATCGCCAGAGGGCGAGATAACCCCGGCCAAGTTTGTTGTGCTTCTCCAGGGACGAGGCAGGCGAATATTTGTGTCCCTTGTGCGGTGCCTTGCTCTACCCTGCCGTCTGCCGTGGTGCCTCTCCGACGACATTCTTGACCCGTCTTTGCCACCGAGAGGCAGACTTGGCTCCGAATGCCGTTTGTCTGAGGACGCAACCCTGCAGTCGTACGTGCGGTATTTTCCACGCGTATTTTAGAGGGCACGCGTCATTGGTCTGGACGCCAACAACGCCATCGTACCATCCGATGCGACACCCTTGCACCGTTGTTGTTGCCGTTGCGGTGTTTTTATTTCTCCCGACGGGGGTGAGATGCGTTTTGTTTCTCACTTGTGCGCTGTGCTGACTCCCACTGTGGGCGCTGAGAGCGTGCAGCGGAACGATGGCAAGCTTGCGGCAAATGTCTCGCATAGAAAGGGAGGGCTGTTTGTTGTGCAACTAGGGGGAGATGGTTGTGGTTCTCTCCTCCTTCTAGTTTATGGTGGCTGTTCTGTCGTTGTGTGTGCGTGTTTCTTGTGTGGATGTCGTTTTGCGGTGCGTGCAGTGTGCGAGTTGTGCCTGCCGCGGGAGGTCGCATCATTACCGCGCACGCAACGGCGACGCTGCGACGATGTGTGTGTTTCTCTTTTTGCTGCACCTCTCTGTATTTCCCTTTTGCCCTTCTATTCTCCACTTGGTGTGCAGATCTGCTCGCCGAATTCAGCAACTCTACTGCTGCTTCTGCTCGCACGTGTACGCGAAGAAAGATGGCGATGGTTTTACGGTGCGTGTGGGAGCGAGGATTCCGGTGTGCACTGGCGTCTATTCGGCGAGAGCAACTGGACTGCGTGTCGTACTGGTAAGAAGCCGGATGGTCAATATGTAACGGAAGAGGAGGCTTTCAATGCGATATTCTGCGATTTTGCGGCGAGGAGCTGCTCGGATTACGGCGGCACGAATAATTCCGTGG